ATTTTGAAAACTGGAATTTTTGCTAAACCGTTACCATATGAACGAAAAAATTACCAAAATAGTTGGTTTAAATAACGTATAATTTAGTTTTTATTACCAAAATGTTTTTGCTTTCTTTTTTTTGCCAGGTATGTTACCATAGAGTGCAGTAGTTCCAGCAGAATTTTTTCCCGTTCCGTAATAGATCTCGGACGAGTTCATCAAGAGTTAAATCCTATACACTCTAAGAGCAAGCAGGAAAAATTACACAAAAAACATCACTTAAAAAATCCAGCAGAATCAACATTCTACAAACAATAAAAATAATGTAAGTCATAAACTGTGCACAATCAGTGAGCTTGAAATTACTATGTAATATATATATCAAAGGGGCACATAAATGTTGAGCCAAACTTATAGAGAAATTAGGTCACATCATCAGGATTAAAATGGTAAATAAACATATTCCTGGAANATATATACATTGTGGAGGCCTTATTGTTTTTTTAATAACATCAAATTTTGCACTGTTATAACTTAAATATAAAAAACATTAATTAGATTACGTTAAAAAGCGTATATCATTCTAATGATAAATGCAAGTTTATCTTAATGAAAGACAGTCACAATTGTTTATCTTCAATTACTCATCCAATATTTCTTTAAAGATCAAGAAATATCATTCAAAAGCGTCCGAGATTTATCTTCCATGTTTTATTTTTTTAGGGTAAAAATCAGAGCATAAAATGAATCTCGGAAAGAGGGGGTAAAAAATGGAAGGGGGTTGATGATAAAACAGAAAGATTCTGTTGGGGTCAGGATCTGAAGCTCGACATGTAAGCTGATACCCAAGAGTCGGATGCAAAAACGCGACTCTTTGTCGGACTCGGGTCAGGGATTTTTGCGTAAGTGAGAATCGGCTCTTTATTTGGCGATTTATCGCTATTTTTTGAGCTTCCTGAAATTAGTTTCGTTTAAAATTTTTAGGGTCTAAGTTCAGAGATCTTTTTGTATACGTACTTATAATCTGAAGGACTTGGGTACTTAAATAAATGCACGCGTTCTTAAAGAAACAGAAGGTTATTCCTCAAGTGCTGATTCAAAAACATAAGAAATCCACAAGTGTTAAAAGGAACGTCACATACGAATTAGAAACTTTTCTGTTATTGTATAGCAGTCTATTACTGTGCATTTATAAGAAAGGAGAATTTAAATGCGGTTTAAGCTTCAATTACTAGTTTGTTTTTATTTATTTAAAAATAAAATTATTGAACTATTGAATTATTGGCTATGAAATTGTAATATACTTGTTAACAAAATTAAATCAAAATTTTTTAAAATTACTTTTATATATATTCCATTTTTCTGGAATTCACTTTTTTTTAACAAAAAGGTTTCAAACTTTATATTAAGAGAAATTTAGGGATTAATTTAAGTTAATGTGTTTCATTTTTGTCATTTGTTGAATTTACTAAAGCTTACACTTCATAACCAATGAAATGAATTCTATCAACAAATTTGTATAGTAATTTTATAAAATTCATTCCCTTCATTTTTAATAATTTGAACTTTTCATTTATATACTTTGACGAATGTTTTAAGACTTTGACACATATTTTGTAATCTGAAACAAGTTTCAAATAAATTTCTTTTTGGAAAATGCTTAAAAAAATTCACAAAGTGCCCTGCTTTATTTTTATGTGTATGCTCTTAACGCAGCACTGTTTAGACTAAAAATTGCTTCTTGAAATTTTTGAGTGCATATTTCTTGACAAGTACAGGTATTTTTTAAATAATTGATCATTTTTTAATCGGAAACAAGATTAAAATTCTTTTTTTATGGAAAATTTTTTAAAAAATTCGTAAATTGCCCTTCATTAATTATACATATACGTTAATTATACATATATGCTCTTAAACGTAAGGGAACAAATCCATCTCAAAAATTTTGAGTATTTATTTCTTGAACAAATTGGTATTTTTGAAAAAAAAATGGCTCTCACTTTGTAATTTAAAAATAAGTTTCAAATGAATTCCTCGTTGTAAAAAATTATAAAAAATTTACGAAGTGCCCTCCATTATGTTAACTATATATATGCTCTTAACGTACCATGGTTTGGAATAAACAAATCCGTCTAAAAAATGTTGAGTATTTATTTTTCCTAATCAATGGATATTTTGAAAAAATTTTACTCTTACTTTGTAATCTGAAACAAGTTTCTTATTAATTCCTCAATGCAAAAAATTATAAAAAAATTCGCAATTTATGACTTATAAAATATAAATTTTTAAATTATAAAAAATTTTATAAATTATAAAAATCTGCAATTATAAAAAATTTATAAATTATAATAATAGATTTATAAATTATAAAAAATTCGCAAATGACTCCACTATGTTAACTATATTAATGCTCCTAACATAGCATTGTTTGGTCAAAACAAATGCTTCTTGAGAATTTTAGGTATTTATTTATTCATATTTATGTGTATTTTTTTAAAACATTGACGCTTACTTTGTTATCTTAAGCAAGCTTCAAATAAATTCCGTGGTCAATAAAGCGTCCAATGTTTGAAAAATATTCATAGATGTGAAGAAATAAATAATACAAAAAAAATTTTAAGAACCATATCATGCTACCTAAAAGGCTTATACATATTTAAAAATTGGAGGACATTGCGAATTTTTTATAATTTTTGCTATGAGAAATTCATTTAAAACTTTTAAAGAAGTGAGTGACAACTTTTTCAAAAATACCCATTGATGAGAAGAAATATATACCCTAAATTTTTAAGATGCAATTTTCAGTTTAAACAATGCTTCGTTAAAAGTATGTATAGAATTAAAATAATGGAGGAAATTTTGCAAATTTTTTGTAACTTTTCTAATGAGTAATTAATTCAAAACTTGTTTCAGATTTTAAAGTGAGCGTCTCTTTTTGAAAAATACTAATGTGTTCCAAGAAATAAATATTCAAAATTTTTAAAAAGGATTTATTTACTCCAAACAATATAACGTTAAGAACATATTTATAGTTCACATTTTGGAGGACACTTGCGAATTTTTTTATATTTCTTGGAATTGAGAAATTTACTTGAAACTTGTTTCAGATTTCTCAGAAAACGTCAAAATTTTTAAAAAATACACATAAATGTTAAGAAATAAATACCCAAAATTTTTAAGAAGGATTTGCTTAGTTCAAACCAAGCTACTTTAAGAGCATTAATAAAGTTAACATAATGAAGAAAAAATTGCGAATTTTTTATCTTTTTTTTTGCATGAGGAATTAATTTAAAACTTGTTTCAGTTCAAAAAGTATGTGATAAATTTTTGAAATACACCCTTAAGAGTCATGATTGCTCAGGGGATGGAGCATTATCCTTCCAATGTGGTTGAACCGGGTTCGAATCCCAGCGATGGCTGTTCGATACGAATTCCGCATCCGGCTTGAACCGACCACAGTGCTGACGTAAAATATCCTCAGTGGTAGGCGGATCAAGATCTAGAGTTCCCTTGCCGCCAGGCTAACCGTAGGAGGTTTTCATGCTTTTCCATCATCATCTTTTGTTTCAAGTAACAGGAGTTTGATCTTGATAACTAACAACTTCTAACTACCAACGAAAACTGGGGAATTTGAAATTTCAAGAATGTAACAAATTTAGTAAAAAGCTTAGAATATCATATTTTTTCTTTCATTCATATGGTTTCTACTTTTGCACTGACATACCTTTCTTTCAAAAGCATTTCGCTTAAGATATTCATTAAACAATATTTCACCTTCCTTAAATGGTTTTTCTCACTTATTTATTTCTAATTGTACGTCTGTTAATATAACTATTATCTGTAATAAATTCTATGTATATACATCTTTTTGTGTGTTTTTCTCCTTCCAAATACAAATAGCCAAAATGAAAATAAAACTTTGCTTCTCTCTTTATGTCTTAGGCTTTTTTTTTTAACAAATGGGGTTTGGTTCCAAGTGACGGCTTAAAGCCCACCCAGTTTCAGATCCATGAGTACCAGCTTATCTGGGAAGTAAAGGCGGCATGTGTGCAGTGCTAGCAACATTGCCACAATCATGCTGTTGTTGGTCACGAAATTGTGGAGCTTCAACCACGAGCCCCAAGACCAAAAAGGACATTCGAGGGAATACTTAGCTTTAAAAGTAAAATAAGAGAAACATAATCTGTAAAAATGGCTTGTTACTGATCAAAAATATTTAATAATTGCATTTGATAAAGGGGGTTTTTTATTTGCTATTACAGAAACTTAACAGTAGACGTATTTAAATACTTAAGGCTATTTACATAAAGATTCAACCAAAATATTCAAAAGTATAAACATAATATGAGGTAGTAGTGCTCCTCTTAACATTTATGTAAAACACGCCTATCTGAAATTAAGTGTTTAAAGCAAAATTGCATTATAACTGAATATATAATCAATTCTTGATAATTTGTGGTTAATTTGTGCTTCAAGTTATCCATCAGCTCCGAGTCCCTTAAAGCTTTGATACAGCCCTGGAAGTATTAGTGGCTAAATTAAAGTAAGTTAATTGAAGTAGTAGTAGTAGTTAATTAATGTAGTTAAATTAAAGTAAACATATGTATAAATTAAATAATTGACTGATAACGATATACATAATAATAGGAATATATTAAACAGTAAATTTTTAACACATCCAAACATCTTTATCAACAACGAATACCAAGTTTCAATAAAGCTTTATCACCATTTTCAATAATAAAGAGAAATATTTCGAAAACAATCATTTCTTTTATCTTTGAATCGATGAATGACAGGGATGTAAATAAGTTTTAGATGCAAATTCCAGAAGTTAATTCCTTTTCATCGCATTCATTTCTGATTAAAAAAGCAAAATACGCAAGCAGTTTCAATGCCATAAAGAACGCTCTGATTTAAAAGCGCTGTCGTTTGTAATTAGGATAGTAATATGAGCGGAATTTGGCGATAAATTTGGCATTTTACACTACTTGTTGAATGTGGTAACCCTTCTAAGATCATCCCGCCAAAGAAGAGATGCTCCGGAATAAGTTTTCGGAAACAACATAACGGGGATTTTGACACGTGCTTTAGCTGTCAAAGAAACTGTTATGCTTTTCTTAAAAAGGACTTCTAATTTTAATAATAATATTTAAGTTTTCGCAAGAAAAAAAGTTTTGATTAATTGTTTTAATTAATAGTATTTTAATTTTGTAATTGTTAAATTATACAGCTTTACCTAAAACAAAATGTAATATTTTGCCTGAGTACTTGATTAAAAAAATCCCGTTGGGAATTAACAAAAATGTGTGAATAAAACATGACTTATAATTTAACAGTTTCTTAGTTCAGCACTTATTGAACTATGTTCTCTTCAAAAATTAACTTAATATTTCACGACATTTTTGTTCTATAGTAACTATTTTATAGCGAAAATGACAAGAAACAAGATGAAAATAAGGACTTTTTTACATAGCTCTATAACAAGCCATTATGAAACAATCAATTGGTACTGGATGCTAAACAGGACGTTGGTGTTATTGTGTTTATTGTTATGTTTAGCGAATTTTAGTGTTGTTGGATTTAATATCGATACCAGGACAGCTCTTGTTCATCATGGAGTAAATGGTTCTATGTTTGGTTATGCTGTATCCTTACACAGAGACAGGGATGATGGATGGTAAGTTTATTCAATTATATTTTTGTGTCATAAAATTTTAAATGCTAATAAGCACTGTTTTAAAAAATATATAATTTTAAACAGCCTAATGTATGGGATATGTAAACATGGAACAGCCTAATCCATCTTTATAACATCCTAATGTAAACAGCCTAATGCATCTTTACATTGCTAGAAATTGTAATCAGCCTAATGCATCTTTACATTGCTAGAAATTTTAAATTTTGAACCGGGGCTCTAAATTTTGATTTTTAAAGCACCTTCACTGCAAAACTATGTTATCTTATATTGCATGACCAGTAACAATAAAATAATTGTTAATGGTCCCTACGGACTCACAATCGATGTAAATTAATGGTATGCTGTTTCGGTGTTTTTGATTTTTAGTGTCGTGTTTTAGTCTGTGCTATAGTAAAAAAAAAGCATATTTTTCATCATAATTGTGATATTTTCCCATTCTTTTTAATATAATTTTTATTTTAATTTCACTTTATTAACTTTTTTTCTTTAAAAAAGTTTAATAGATATTTGTAAACGGACTAGTGGAAATAAGTATACGGATTGCCTATATCTTTTAGTAACTGGTCGTGTAGACAAGTGACTTCATTTATTTAATACTTTCCCTGCATGTCTATGTAAATTGCATTATAATGAAGTAGAGAAATATCTTTATCAATTGCATTGTGTTATTTCTCTTTAGAATAATAATTTTATAGGTAAAATTCACTTTTATTTTCGAATTCTTCTTAATTAATTTGTTCATGGGTGATATGATATATGTTAAAGGGATAGGGCAACAAAATTCTTTGAAAAGATTGTTCTAATATTGCTAAAGGAATCGATATTTGACATTTGAATTATGCTATTTTTTAATAGTGATATTACTCGAAACGCCACTCAACAAGGAAAGTTGAAACTACGTAATATATACTATATAAACTGCATAAATCAGCAGTATTTGTTTTCATTGCAAAACCTTTTTTCATAAAAATCTGTACAAACATAATTGTTTACATTTTGAGTGACTGAAAGAAAATACACAGTTTGACAAAAAGAACTAAAAGAAAATGCGTAATAATAATATCTTTAAAACTTTTTAAAAGATTAAAAAAAACAAAAAAAATATTAATGACAAATTTACAGATGAATATTTGATCGAAATCATACGAAAAGGATGTATAAAATGACATAATTATAGTTAATAAAACAAAAAAAAGTAATAGTAATTTTGTATTTAGTATTAGTAAACCGGTAAATCATAAACCCATGTTTACGGGAAATTCTGGTCTTCAAAATTATTCTTCTCATTATCAATCATTTATTAAAAAATACAAAACTGAAAAGTAAATTTAACTAAGTAAATTACTTTTATACAATACTCTAAGGTATCATGAAAGAGCTACCAAATTCACCAAGTTTTATCGCATATTATAAGACCATATATTGTTAATTTTATCAAATCATAACCAAAATGCTTCTGTAAAGATTTCCGCGCTTTTTGGTGTTTCAATAAAGTCAATAACATAGTAAATTTTACTATATTTTACTAATTTTGATATTTATTCTCATTGTGTAAATTGGTTTTAAACTAAATTATCTTTAATTTTAACAATGTTTAATATTTTTGTAATATTTCTTCAAAAATATTTAGTTTTTTTTAAGTAATGGTCCGGCTTTCAACAAGCATAGCTTAATTTTTATTTTCAGAGTTGTAATGTGGTAAAGTTGTTCCCCAAATAGAGTTCAAATTTTTCCTATGAAAGAGCTTTAATGTTATAATTAACTTTAATATTATTGCTGAAAAGATTTTTATGAGACTTTTTTGAAAGCTTTATTTTTTAAGAAGTAGAAATATTCAATAAAATATTTTTTTAAATAATTTTTTTCATTAATGAACTTATAGCTAGTTTTCAAACTATTTCCGTTTAAGTTCGGAATACTCTGGCACAATGTGTTAGGCACAAAGAAATTTTAAGTAAAAAGAAATTACTAGGGCAAAATAGGATTAAGAACTTGAACTCACTTATTGATAACCTCTCTTTTTCAATTTCCGTTAAAATTTTAGGCAAATATATTATTTATTTACTAAGCACAAATATTTTAAAATAAAAACAAATGATCTAAAAAGTCCATCACTTTATATCTCCTATTCTAATTATCTAAATTTGATTTTAAAAAAATTACAAAAAATAACTCGGGTAATTAACTTAGAATAATTATGAATAACCTAATGTTAAGTAAGAAGTTAATAGTAGTATTTTTATCGTTATAGATTATATACGTATAAAAAACATGTGTTGAATAGCCGGAAAATCTTATTATTTCAGTTAATTCTTAAGCTTGTTTTTTCAAATTCCTTACAATCCTACTTAACGTAGGTTTTCAAATTCAGACCAGTGATTTTTGTCAGGAGATTATGTAAAATAATTTTAAAAAACGTAATAAATAGCTCAACTGAAGTGGCTCTAAAAGATGTGTTGTTAGTTATTTGCACTAATTTAATAAACATTAATAAGAACTTTAATATAGAAATTAATTTATAGTAAAACATAAAAACGAAAAACAAGAAACTTTAAAAAATATTTTTAAAAGTATCTAGAGCTACGGAATAAAAAAAATATGCATTTTAAAAGCAAATTCCTATATTATAAAAAAAGATTATAAATACTGTTTAAGGTATTGGCGATTTGGGTACATCATCCGAAATATTATTTTAACGTACTTTTTACAGTATCATTTTTACCATAAAACAATATACCGTAGTTTTTTCAGTAATATTTACTTCATTAGAATGATTCAGTAAAATTACGGTAGCTACTGCTGTAAAAATTACGTTATGTCAGTTTTTTTCTCCCGTAACATGTTCCGGCAAAAATGGATTTTAGGGTAAAAATTACCAGCAGCTTGAGTGCCGGTATTTCTTAACTGAATTTTATCCAGAATTTTTTGCAGTGTATATAGTTTTAATCATTGTTTGCTACTAAAACCGTTCCATTTGGTTCTTTGATGATTAATTGATTATTACATATATACATCATTACACTTCAAATATGAAAACTTTATTGTATGTTAAATTAAGCAGTCACAATTTTATTTAAGAAGTGATTTCATAAACTCTCTGACTTGCGATTATTATTCAAAGAAAATCTTATATTTGCTATAAAATGACACACTAAAAGGCCTCCCAAAAGAGCTTTCAAAATTTCAACCTTTATTCAGGAGGTCAATATAATTTACTTGACCTCTCTTTCCAGATGATAAAATTACGTTATTTTTTTGCATAAGCCGTTTTTTTCTTATCTTTATATCAGTAAATTGAAGCCATCTGAAAACCTCGGTCCCTCTCTTTTTAAATAAACAAAGGAGGGATGGGCGCCATCCCTTTTCGTCGGATAGAATGATAACCGAAATGGAATGTTTTGCTGATTTGAAATAATTATCTTCTTGAGTAATCTTTTTTTAGCTCTTTATATAAGCAATATAACATTAAGTGAAAGAAGTTCCAGACATGTCTTGTCTATAGATGACAGAAAAATAAGTGATTGTGCATGATTAATTCATTTATTTCTAGTTCAATGTAATAAAAAAATTGCGTTAAATACTGACATTAAATTAATGGATTAAAAAATTCATTCATTTGAAAAATATACAAATTAGAAACAACATGAGACAAGCGCTCAAAAGTAGGTGCCCATTTTCAAGACCAGACGAGACTGAGGAGAAACAAACGTGATGTGAAATATAAAACGTAAAGTTGTAAATGAAATATGAGCTGTAGGAAATAGGTGTTGTATATTTTACATTTCAAATCACTTTTGTTTCACATCTGGCAAGTCATGAAAATGGGCGCAGAATAACTTTTTCCTACACACATTGAAACCTGGGCAGCAATGCTAGATTAAAAACCGTCGTTGAATGGCTGACCCAATTTTGAGTTAACGACTACCAATCTTCAACTCCTTATCCTTGTAATTTTGAACCCAATCCAGAAGACAACTCCTGGATCAAGTACTGAGTGAATTTGACTTCGGAGGCCTTTTTGATGAAGCAAATTCTCACTTGCTTTACATAGAGAGGAAAGCCACGAAAACCCACCACGCTTAACCTGACGAAAGAGGACTGTATACCACTAAGGATATTTTTTGTTAGCACTGTGGTCGGTGCCAGCCGGGTGTGGAATTCGAATTCCACCCATTTCTGGGATCGAACCCAGGTTCCCCGTTGGGAGGTAAGAGCTTCATCCCCTTGAGCCACCACGGCTTCGCATCAATAGTTAGATGAAGCTAGCGCTCAAACACTGCACTAGGACAAATTTGGAACAAATCAGATCCCAAATTTCTGAGCCAGAAAAATCGGCCATCGCACTGCCATCAATCACTTCAGCTGCGACGAACGCCTGAAATAATTCCTATGGCCACCTTACAAAAACAGGTGGAAAATCCCCCAATACTTGTGCAGATGCGTGTCCGGATAGTTTTGCCAGATAGTGTATTTATTGAAAGGTATTTTCAAATTCAAAATTAGGTTTTTACACATTTTTACTGATCTTATCTTGTTTGTGTTAATGCACGGTGAAAAAAATTATGGTAAATTACTGTAATGTATGTTAATGACCTTTCTGGTCAATTAAACCAAACTAAGCGTCATTTAAAGTATTCATTAGGAAATTTTTCCTTTCATATGGAGGCGGTTTCCCCGAGGTTCCGGTTCGTAAAATTATTACTCTTGTTACTTCACATTTAGTAATAAAAAAGAAAATGGAAAAGTAAATTTATCTGAATAAATGACTTTTATACTATGCTCTTAGCTATCAGGATAAAATTGCCAAATTTTACCACATTTACCAAATTTTATCATATATTAGAAATTCATATTTTATTGTTAGTTTTATCAAAATTATCTTCAAAGTGCTTCGGTAAAAATTACCGAGCTCTTGGGGATTCCCATAGAGATAGGAGCATAATAAATTGATCATGTTTTGAACATATTTTTTTTCTCAA